TATAACCTTTCTAGTGGCTAAGAGTGTGCGATCTGGATTCAGATTACCTGGGGTTCAATCTCAGCGCTGCCATTTAATAGGATTTGTTACCTTAGGCAAGTTATTTAATTTAAATTGCTTTATTGTTAAAAGGAAGATGATGATAAGCCCTCTCTCTGGAGGTTGTGGTAAGATTGAAATGAGATAATCCGTGCAAATGCTGAGCACAGTGCCTGGTATATAGTAAGTGATCAATAAACGTCAGCTACTAATATCACTATTTGCATTCTAAACAGGTACTATGCTAGATTCTGTGTTTTGTTTTGTTTTGTTTTTTTGGGGGGGGGGGTGGAGTCTTTCTCTGTCACCCCAGGCTGGAGTGAAGTGGCACAATCCCAGCTCACTGCAACCTCTGCCTCCCAGGTTCAAGCGATTCTCCTGCCTCAGCCTCCTGAGAAGCTGGGACTACAGGTGTGCGCCACCACACCCAGCTAATTTTTGTATTTTCAGTAGAGACGGGGTTTCACCATGCTAGCCAGGATGGTCTCGATCTCTTGACCTCATGATCCACGCCCACCTTGGCCTCCCAAAGTGCTGGGATTACAGGCGTGAGCCACTGCACCCGGTCGCTAGATTCTTTAAGAGCCAAAAATAAATTTTAAAACTTAAGAGACAACTTCTGTCATCAAGGAGCTCATATGTAGGCAGAGATTCTGGTTTTCAGCACAAGTGATGGAATATTCAAATAATTCAAACAGAAAATAAAGATGTATTTTTAAAATGTGACCGATGAATGTAAAGGCCAAGTAAAAGTAATTTGATGTAATGCTCTCTCTCTGATTTGCCCACAGCCCAGCTAGATATATTTTTATGAGCACTTTTCAAAGCCACTGAGCCTCTGAAATACTACTCCAAAAGAAACATTTGATAAATGGTAGCTATTTGTGACTTTAGCACCAAGATGTTTGTGACATGGAATGCCAGGGAGGTCGGCTCCTTTTCCTCAGTCAAATAATTTCACCTCCCTTGGCCTCATTTTCCTTGTGGTTAAAATCAGCAACTTGGGGCACAGGCTCTCAGAGGTCCCTTGGCAATGGCATCCTATAGCTCAGTAAATGCTTTTTTGACATCAGGGTGACTACCAACCCCAAACACCAAGAGGTCCCCAGCTCTGCTTCAAAAAGCTAAGAACTGTCTGGAGGTCTTCCGTCTGGGTTGGGGCCCCCGTTAAGGATACTCTATATTACATGAATCTGTGACAATATTCTCTTGTTGCTTTTCAAAAATATGATTTCACCTGCAATGTATTTGAACCCACGTAACAATGAGTTGTATCATAACAGGATTTTTCCATAACGATGTCAAATGTAGGGCATTGCTTCACTTGAAAAAGGAAAATTGCCCACCCACTGCAGAGTTTTCTTCTTAGCATATGCTATTTAGTTAACATCCTTTTTCAAATGTGAGCATTCAAAATCACACTAGGGGCTCTAATTTAGAAAAAAAAAATAAGTCTCTACAATTGCTAGCAAACCTTTTGTGAGAGCATCCAGCTTCTGCTCCCTAATGTTTTCTGTTTTTTTGTTTTTAAAAAATTAGTTTTTTTGCTCTGGCCTTACAGGTTGAGAGGCATTATACAAACTAATTTATAAAATTGCTTTATTTATATAGACAGCAGAGAACTTATTTTCAATATCATATTATTTTCATGAATATTATTTTCAATATCATGGGGGTGTTCTGTGTGAATAAACTACCTTTCTCCCTATGTTTGGGTTTAAGAATTAACTTTCATTTACTCCCAACTAATTTTAACAACCTGAAATTATCAGCAGTTCAGACAGACTTTTAGCATACTGACTACATTGTCTGTCTGCCCTACATCCCATCCCCTTCTTGTAGGAACTACTCCTCCCTGACTCCAGGTAATTTTCTAGACTGTCAGTCATATCTCTACTTTCCCAACTAAAGGGCTGGACCCAGGCTGTCCAATCAGAGTATTCCAGAATCCTGAAAACAGCATTGATGGGTACTAGAACAGGCATTTATCTCAGGCATGGCCAACCAGAATCCTTCATGGATATAGAGGAATATGCCTTTTCTAAGTCTACTCAAAAGACTTAGTAGGCCTTCAGCTACTGGTGACCATCTTTGCCACACATGAGAGAGCTGGCCCAAGAATGATCATAACCAGAAGATGGCAAGAGATGGGAGAGTGTCGTGGTGACATTGTTTGAACCACTGGATCCACAAAAATCTATCCCATGCCTAATGCTAGCCCAACCCTTGGACTGCCTAGTAATGTGAGCAACTGTACTTCTTTTTTAGTGTAAGCTAGTCTGAGTTGGGTTTCTACCACTAAAACTAAAAAAGCCCTGGCTAATCTTTTTCTGGGTGCCAGTACCATCTTCACAGTTACTAGATATGTTATCTTAGGCAAGCTGTTCACTGCCTTCGAGCCTCAGCTTCCTCATCCGTAAAATGGGGATAATTATATTTACCTCAAAGGATTGTTATACAGAATCAATTAGATAATACACATAACAGAATTGGAAAAAATATTTTCAAACTGTATAGAGGTTGAGTATTCCTTATCTGAAATGCTTGGGACCAGAAGTGTTTCAGATTTATTTTTTTTTATTTCTGAAACATTTGCATATACATAATGAGACACCTTGGGGATGGAACCCAAGACTAAACACAAAATTCACTTATGTTTCATATAAACCTTATACACATAGCCTGAAGGTAATCTTATACCATAGTTTTAATGATTTTGTGCAAGAAACAAAGTTTGCATACAATGAAATATCAGAAAGCAAAAGTGTCAGCATCTCATGTTGGCATTCAAAAAGTTTTGGATTTGGGAGAATTTCAGATTTGGAATTTTCAGATTAGGAATGCTCAACTTGCATTTGATAAAGGTCTAGTATTCAAAATATATAAACTTTTGCAACCCAATAATAAAGAGATAAATAATTAATTTAAAAGTGGGCAAAGGGGTTGAATAGACATTTCTCCAAAGAGATACAAATGCATAATAAGCACATTAAAAGATGCTCAACATCACTAAACATTAGGAAAATGCAAATCAAAAACACAATGAAATGCCATTTTGCACACACTAGGATGGCTGTAATAAAAAAGATGGAAAGTATCAAGTATTGTCAAGGATGTGAAGAAACTGGAACCCACCACATTGCTGGTAGGAATGTAAAATTTGGCAACTCCTCCAAAGGTTAAACCTAGTGTTATCATCTGACTTAGCCATCGCATTACTATTATGGACTGAATGCATGTGTCCCACCCAAATCCATATGTTGAAATCCTAACCCAATGTGATGGTATTACGATGTGACACTTTTGAGAGGTAATTAAGTCATGAGGGTGGAGCCCTCATGAATGGGAACAGTGCCTTATAAAAGAGACCCCAGGCTGGGCATGGTGGCTCACACCTATAATCCCAGCACTTTGGGAGGCTGAGGTGGGGAGATCACCTGAGGTCAGGAGTTCAAGACCAGCCTGGCCATCATGGTGAAAACCTGTCTCTACTAAAAATACAAAAAATTAGCCAAGCGTGGTGGCGCACACATGTAATCCTAGCTACTCAGGAGGCTGAGGCAGAATTGCTTGAACTCAGGAGGCAGAGGTTGCAGTGAGCTGAGATCGCACCACTGTACTCCAGCCTGGGTGACAGAGCAAGACCTTGTCTCAAAAAAAAAAAAAAAAAAAAAAAAAAAAAAAAAACAGAGAGTAGCTCTCTAGCTATTTTTCAGCCATATAAGGACACAATGAGAGGTCAACAGCCTGCAACAGGGAAGAGGGCCTCACGAGAACCCAACCATGCTGGTACCCTGATCTCAGACTTTCAGCTTTCAGAACTGAGAGAAATACATTTGTTGTTTGTAAGCCATCCAGTCTAGGGTAATTTGTTAGAGCAGCCCGAACTGACTAAGACATTCCTAGGTAAATACACAAGAGAAATGAAAACATATGTCCACATAAAACCTTGTACACCAATGTTCACAGCAGCATCATTCATAACATTCAAAAAAATGGAAACAGCTCAAACATTCATGAACAAACAGATGGATAAACAAAATGTGGCATATCCATACAATGGAATATTATCCAGCCATAAAAAGGAATAAAGTACTGGCACATGCTACAACATAGATAAAACTTGGAAATATTATGCTAAGTCAAAAGCCAGATACAAAAGACCACATACTGTATGATACCTTCTATATTAAAGATGCAAAATAGGCAAATCTATAGAGACAGAAAGCAGATTAGTGGTTACCAGGGGCTGGGGGGAAGTGGTAATGTACAATGACTACCAGTGGGTACAGGGTTTCTTGTGAGGAGTGACAAAAATGTTCTGGGATTAGACCATGATGAGAGTTCTATCATTTTGTGAATACACTGAAAACCACTGAATTGTATATCTTAAAAGGGCAAATTTTATATGAATTATCTCAATTTAAAAAATAACCCCTATGGTGATGAAGATAGAAGGCATACCTTACCTGTTAATAACAACTAGAATGACTATCATTTAGTATCTACTATATATAAGGCAATTTATTTATATGATTTTGTTTAACCCTCACTGCAACCCTACAAAGTAGCTATTACTCTCCTCGTGCTAGACCTAGGGTGCTGAAATGAGTAAGTGGTAGGGTAAAGATTCAAACGGAAGTCTATCTAATTTCAAAGTTCAAACAAACAAACCTAATTGCTAATGTTACTCAGGTTTTTGTTTGTACAGAGTTGAAATCTAATCCTAATTTATACAATGGGCCTATGAAAATGCTGAACCAACTAAGAATATATGAAAACGACTTATCTCAGAAGTGGTCAAATGAGAAGTATTCTACCAGAGTCATTTTCCCAACCAGTCCTCTGTGTTTGGGATTGTATATTTAAGAGGCTTAGGGATCCTACTGAATTATTCTGAAGACATGCAACAGGCCTATTTTGTGGTGTTATAGAATCACTGAAAAGACTGGTCTCAATTCACCAAGTATAGGCATTACATTTTATAAGCACTTACATTTCAACTCAGAAATTGTTTCAGTGATACAGTCACAGAGAAGCCAACAGGCTCCCACGGAATGGATTTCTGAAGAAGCACATTTATTTACACAACCCTTGCACAATTTGGCTAAGGGAGAGGAGACAAGGCAGATTCCACACAGGAAGGAAGATGATAAAGCTCAAAGACTTCTTTGCTTTAAAATCAATGTTCTGCCCAATCTCTCCACAGCAATCATTTAAAATTCCACAATAATGTTTCCTGCCAAAGAGACAAACGGCAATGGGCTTGTCACAGCTGAAACAGAACACCAGGTTTGTTGTTAGTTTATTTGTTTACATAAAATAGATGGGATACCTACCAGTGTATTATCTATACCCTCACAGCAGGTTGATACAGTACTGTTGGGTAAAGAGTGGCTTTTCTTTGGTTTTCCTTCTTTCTCATCAGGGTTCTTTAGAATTCAAGCCACAATGACGTAAGTGAGGATGAAACATTTGCAGGAAGAAAAGATTTTTCCACAGTTTTTTTTCCGTAGCTTGATATATCTAATTTTGTATGCACTATGGATGGCTAGAGCTGGTAACCCAAATATTCTTTATGAGGGCAAAAAATTCTGGTTTTATTTTCTGTTATAGGTTGTTGCCTGAGAGAGAAAATTCAGATTGAAATATATTACAGTCTTTTCTCCAGACCTTGGCTGGAATTTTTACCCCACTCTTTCCTTTTCTGAGAGAGCACACCCATTGCATGTGGACACATGGACACATGTACACACAGACACATAGACCCACAGACATACATAAGACACACACACATACACAAATACACAGACATACACACATGGACACACACAGACACACACACATACAGACACAGACATGCACACACACACATACACACAGACATACACACATACAGACCCACACACAGACACAGACATAAACACACACAGACCCCCCCCACACACATACATACACACACACACACACACACACACAGAGTCTCATATTTTCTGGAAAACAAGAGCCAGAAAAGAAAAAAAAAAAAAAAAAAAAACTCATGTAAATCTCTAGACAGACACATTCATTATGAATTTTTTTTTTTGCATACAAAACCTATGGATTTTAATCACAGGTGCACCCTCTCAGCTCTCACTTGCTCCCATTTTCTCTTACCATACTCAAAATTCTAACAAGTTTGGTGAGCTCATTTTTAGACCTTCATCAAACTGAACACAGCAGTTATGCTGAGAATAGTGAAAAGGGGCTACAAGGAAGGGAGGAAAATGTACCACCACAAACTAGAAATTTACTAACACACCATTCCACAAAAAATAAATTCTAAATACATGAGCCTGCTAATTAGTGAAAAACACTCTACTCAACCGATCTCAACCTCAAATAAGTGATATTCAAAATAATAAACCTGGCCAGGCGCAATGGCTCACACCTGTAATCCCAACACTTTGGGAGGCCAAGGAGGGTGGATCACCTGAGGTTGGGAGTTCGAGACCAGCCTGGCCAACATAGTGAAACCCTGTCCCTACAAAAAATACAAAAATAGCCAGGTATGGTGGCATGCATCTGTAATCCAGCTACTTGGGAGGCTGAGGCAGGACAATCGCTTGAACCCAGGCGGCAGAGGTTGCAGTGAGCCGAGATCGTGCCACTGCACTCCAGCCTGGGTGACAGAGTGAGACTCTGTCTCAAAAAAAAAACAACAAAAAATGATAAACCTGTGTAATAAAAAAAAGGTTTTAGGCAAGATACCATGCTGCATATAGATCTTTTTATAAGAGTTTCCAATCAAACCAGCAAAGATAATATAAACTTAAAAAATATTTGGTGCTCAAAGGCCTTGGAAAGTGCAACTCCCTTGAAGAAAAAAAAAAAAAAAAAAAAAAAGGCAGCCATGTCCAAGCTAAGCACAGAACTTAGGAGTCAAAAGACCTGGGATCAAATCCTTGCCCTACTATTTACAGATTGCGTGACATTGGGCAAAAGAATCAACTTAGACATACTTTCCTCATCTCTAAAACGAGGCTAATGACAGCAACTTCAGAGGCTGTTATAAACATTAAATAAGCTATGTGAGAGTACAACATATGTAGCCCATAAATGTTCTTTCAATCCAAAGAACTGAGATTTTACTATGTATGTGAATCTTCATTGCTTTCCATGAAGCTAATATTAAAAGTATTATTTGCTCTGATGATGTTAGTTAAAATAAAAGGATAGGGCTGGGACCAGTGGTACACACCTGTAATTCCAGCACCTTGGGAGTCCAAGGCAGGAGGATTGCTTGAGCCCAAAAGTTCAAGACTAGGCCAGGTGCGGTGGTGCAAGCCTGTAATCCTAGGACTTTGGGAGGCCGAGGCAGGTGGATCACAGGGTCAGGAGTTTGAGACCAGTCTGGCCAAGATGGTAAAACCCCGTCTCTACTAAAAGTACAAAAATTAGCTGGGTGTGGTGGCAGGCGCCTGTAATCCCAGCTACTCGGGAGGCTGAGGCAGGAGAATTGCTTGAACGCCGGGCCTTGGGAGGCGGACGTTGTAGTGAGCGAAGATTGCACCACTGCACTCCAGCCTGGACAACAGAGCAAGACTCCAGCTCAAAAAAAAAAGTTCAAGACCAGCCCAGACAACATAGTGAGCCCCTGTCTCCACAAAAATAAAAAAATAAAAAAATCAGCCGGGCATTGTGACTCATGCCTATAGTCCCATCTACTCAGGAGGCTGAAGTGGAGGGATCGCTTGAGCCAAGAGTTGGAGGTTACAGTGAGCTATGATCGTGCCACTGTACTCCAGCCTGGGCAACAGAACAAGACCCTGTCTCTAAAAAAATATATAAATAGGTACAAAATAAAAAATAAAAGGATAATGTGAGCCAGCAATTTCACTCCTAGGTATATACCCAATAGAAGCATACTTCTGTTCACCAAAAGACGCATATAATAATGTTCATCAAGTATTGTATGTATACTTTACACACACACACACACACACCTTACAAACATACACACACCCATATACATGCTCCGGAAAAAATCTGAACTCTCAAAGTAACAACTCTATGAGATCCTGTGGTAGACACAACTGTACCTCCACCCCTGGCCTTTATATTCCAGATTATATATGGTCCTGAATTTTATGCAAATATTTCCATTGGTTTGTATATTTCTTAACATAAGCTGTCCTATTCTCTGAAGAATAAAGTGGAGTATAAATATAAACATACATTCACAAACACACACACACACACACACACACACACACACACACAAAAGATCTGAACCAAGTCCTCTTTCAGTCTCTAATTTGAATAAGGGACCAACACTTCTAGCCAGAGAATGACCCCACATTCAGGAACTCTATGGTACCCCTGTCCCTTGAGCTTTCACACCTTTGCCAAGGTTGATTCCAACACATGTATATTCACAACAGAGGCAGACTAATATCAACTGACCATAAGTAGGGAAAAGCTAAAAGAGATGAATATAGGAAAGAAATTATTACATTTAGCACTGGTAACATAGCGGACAGGGGACTTGGTGCTTTCAGATATGTATCTCATTTCATCCTTGACACAACCCTGTGAAAACAGAATAATTTTATGGAACTTAAGAAGCCTACCCACCACCACATAGCTACTAAGGCTTTGAAACCAGTTCTGACTCCGAGTTAGCTTCTCTTTCAACCACACCATAGTTGAACGCTGCCAAACGAAAGAGACATGATTTGCCATGGATCTGGAATGGATTTGATCTGGGCAGACGTTTTGTATTCCAGTGTTTAAAAACCAGATCCTCCTATTACCAACTGCATAAATATTTACCTGTTTCTAAAACTGCAAAGTTTTGGAATGAGATTCCCAGGTAATACAGCCTCCTCTTCAGAATGCAAAAAGGCATTTAGTTAGGGTCAAGCTTTGGTCTAGGTGGCTATATTATTACGTATAATTGCTTTTTAACAAGCTTATATACTTGTCGACTTTAATAAAATGCAGATTTTGCCCAGCTCAGCGAACTGGCATCATCATCACTTGCTTCCCGATGGGGAAGCAACACAGATGTTAAAAGTTGCACTGAGTGAGCGAGTCTGAATCCCGACCTGTACCATGGTGTGCAGCTTCCACAGGAGGTGCCCAACCTCCTAGCCCTGGAAAAGGTCAGGAGCCCAATGAATTCAGCTTCTTTTCACACAAAGAGGATAACAGAGCTGGAATGATTTGTCCCTTAAGGATAGTGGTGTTGCTGTTCACAGAGCCCCCAACCACAAGATATCCAAGACTACCTCCAAGGTAACATGTGGAAGAGGATTCTGCAAAAAGAATCATTTGAGGGCCCCCTTCAGGGATCTGCCCCTTAGCAAAGTCAGCTTTGGGATCTTAGCCTAACTGAACTCATCATTGGCTGCCTCACCTCGCCCACTTGCACATTTATGGCTCCCATTTCCTAATTACTCCATATTGCCACTCTCGGCCTGGGGCTACTTAGACAGCTGCCTTCCTGGTGGGCACTTGGGGGTCGGTAGGCGCAAAGAACCTAGGCCAATGTCAGGGATGGTTTATGGTTATTGTCTTGTGTTTAGTCGCAGGGCTCTAAACCCTTGGATCCTCCAGGCTTTAGAAAGATAATGCGCCCTTCCTGGTTAATATTCTATTGGCCACTGCAGGAATGGGCCATGGAGAGCGAGACCCTGGAGAACTGCTGGGAAGAGAGGCCCCAGGGGTCTGGCTATGGTTAGGGGTGGGGGAGCAGCACAGGAAAAAAAAAAAAAGTAATGCAAGCAAAATGAGCTGGGCACAGTGGCTCATGCCTGTAATCCCAGCAATTGGAAAGGCTGAGGCTGAAGGACTGCTTGAGCCCAGGAGTTCGAGGTTACAGTGAGCTGATTGTGCCACTGCACTCCAGTCTGAGTTGGACTCTCAAGAAAAAAAAAAAAAAAGAGGTCTCCTCGCTCTGGTTTCACTGGAAAGTGCTTTAAAATGTGTAATAGAAAGTTTAGGCAAGTGAAGTCCTACCAGCCAGAAATGGAGGGCAAAGAAGGGAGTTCCCATGATTGCCCACCTGCCTTCACTCAACTTCTACTCCTTTGTTTTTTAAAATCTCCTTTAATTCTTACACTATCCTGTGAGTGACGTAAGATTTTCCCCACTTCATACACAAGGAAATTGAGGTACAGAGAGGTTAAATACTAAAAAGCATGATTTCAAAGCCAGGACTGTTTTCTACATCAGTTGTCTACAGCCATACCTTTGCTGATGTGCCTGAGAAATGAATAACAAACAGGAAAACATATATTTCCATGTGATCTGATGTCCTGAGAGGCAGAGGGGAAGGCGGGGAGGTAATTTACCTCTACCCCTGCCTCTTCAGAGACATAAATACAAATTGGCACACCACACACAAATTAACAACAACAAAAAAAGACATAATCAATTTGGAATTAAGAGTTTCCAGGAAATGTGGGCTCCCAGATGCACATACTACAGTAATTCAGGTGGTTTCTCTCCCTCTCTCTCTGGTTGGGAGCTATTCTGATGATTTCCATTTGGAAGCACAGATAGGGCCTCCTAACCACAAGGCGTGGAGATGTGGTCACAAGGCTGGGCTGGGTGCTCCACCCTGAATGCCAGAGCATCCTGCGGGGTCTGCACAGCCAGGGTCTAGTGGAATCCGCATCCGGGCTGCTTTTCTTTCCTTTAACTCAGGAATTCAGGTAAAGGCTACAGGACGAGGCCCAGTTATCTCAGTAATTGTGGCTGTATGCAGCTGGTGCAAGAACAG